TCAAGATACTGTACCATATTTTATTTTTTTATTATTTTTTTTGTTTGTTTTAGCTGAGCCATCCCGCCACCTGTTGGCAGCTCACGGCTGCTCAGCTCGGGCTGACTCGAACCGCTGTTGCTCAGAGCTCAAACTCTTGAGCGAGCTCTTAACCAACTGAGCCACTCAGCCAGCCCTTCCATATTTTAGTATTTATGTAAAATGGTCTACAGTTTTTATCAGTGTCCTGTCTTTCCTTAGGTGTCATTGTTGAAGTTTCTGAGTGTTGCCCTCCAACCCTCCATCTTCCCCTTAGCCCTGGAGTTTTATTGTGCAAGTTTGTACAGTGTGGTGCTTTTTCGGAATGCACGTCACATTATAGCAGAATTGACTATAATAATAGAATGTCCAGATCAAGAGAATCTCAAAAGAAATTGGTTCTATACCTTATGCCGTAGCCTTGGTAAAAATCTCCTTACTACACACTTCCCTGACACCCTGTATACTCCCCCTCCTGATCAGCCTACCTGATTAACTGGCAGTTAGTTCCAAGGGGACAGGGACAGAGTCTGTCCTGTTCTTTTTTTGTTCCTCTGGCCCTAATACAGTGCCTGAACATGGTAGATGCTCAATAACAATTTGAAATATGACTCTATGTGAATATATGTACTTCCCTATTTATTTAGGAAATGCAGATGTTTCTTTTGACTTAGCAACCAGAATGGTTCATAAAGCTATGTTTTAAATATTATAAATTATTAGTAAGAAAATTTTATGGTAATTAGCTGATACTTGAAGTAGCAGAAATGTTCTTGTTCTGACACTTCAGCAATCAGCTAATTTTTACTTTATTCATTAGGTTTCATAATGAATGTACTCATTATGTGTTACCAGTGCTATTGTTTCTAAATTTAGGAAATTATAAGTTCTGTGAATATTTTCTAAAAACTCATAAAGTCATTATAAATATTTAAGAAAATTCAGAAAATGAAGAGTGTCAGATTATTATTTTATATTCAGGTTAAAGGTACACCTTGGAGAAATAGCTAACAAATAATACTAGGCTTTCATAATGAGAGAAGCAGCATCTGTCCAATCAGTGAGAGAGATGAATCTTCTTTATTTCTTCGACTATTTCTGTTTAGAGACTGTCACTTCCTTACTGTAGTTCTTTGCATTCTGATTTCACTTGAATCTTTTTCTTTGTTATTTAATATTTTCCGGTTCCATGTTTCTCAAATAAGGAAGTTTAGGGTAAAAAGAATTGTGGTAGTTCCTTAAAAGAATTGAGTTGCTGAATTTAGAAACTATGATGACTATTTTTACCCATAACCATACCTATTTGTTGTGGAAAAGTATTTTCTCATTTAACATTGAATCTCTGCATTTCACTGTGGATTACAGAGCTCAGATTCTACCCCTATTGTGCAACTCTCCTCAAAATTATAGCTCGAATTTAATTTTCCATTGAGGTATTTTAATAGGTGATCTTGATTAACTTCCCCTCTTCTATAAAACCTGTGAAAGTAGATATTTCATTATATTACCCAACGATACTCTGACAAGAGGCCATTACAGTATTATTAATAAAAATATCTATATTATAGACCCAAAGGAAGTAGTTGTGAAATTTTAAAAAATTTACTTGTGTCCTTTTAAAACTTGTGTCCTTTTATTTTGATGTAATTTCAAACCTATAGAAAATTTTCAAGAATGCAAGAAACTCCCATGTACTCTTTACGTAGATTCAGCAATTGTGTACATTTTGCCTCATTTGTTTTATCATATTTTATCTACCTTTACATGTTCAGTTTTTTTCTTGAATCATTTGAGAGTATGTTGAAAACATCATTCCTAAACACTTATGCGTGAATTTCCTAAGAATAAGAACTTCTTGTTCATAACTACAGAAAAATTATCAAAATCAGGAAATTTAACATCAATATGATTCTGTAATCTAATCCATAATCCATATTAAAATTTTATTAATTGTCTCAATAATGTCCTATATAGCTAGCTGTTTTCCACCCAGTTCAGGATCCAGTTCAAAATCATGCATTGCTTTTAGTCATCTCTCTTTAATCTCCTTTGAATGGCAACAGCTCCATAACCTTTTGATTTTCTTGACTTTGACATTTTTGAAGCAAGGAGGACAATTATTTTGTAGATTTTCTTTAATTTGAGGTTATGTGATATTGTTTGTGATTAAGTTATGCATTTTTTTGCAGGAATAATATACAAGTGATGTATCCTTCACAGTTCATCATATCAGGAGGCACATAATAGTTTATTCTAGTATTGGTATTCATTCATTCATTCATTCATTCATTCTCTTTGATGTATTTACTCTTTTCCATAAGCCTGAAATACTCAGAAAGTAGATTCAGAATTGCTAATCCATAACACCAGATAAGCAAACCTCTGAACTAGAGTTCAGTACTACTTACAGTGTTTTAAGGTGAAATTTAATTGTGGTAAAATACATAAATCTTAAGGGAAGAGTTGAATGGCTTGACAAATACATATACCCATACTCACATCTCTGTTAGGATTTAGAAAGTTTTCAGCACCCCAGAAAACTTCCTGTTGGCCTTTTCTTGTTGATAGTACCCTCCACCACTGACAATTGTATTTCTAATATTTTCCATTATAGATTACTTTAGCCTGTTTTAGAAGTCCATAGAAATGAAAGTATATAGTATATACTCTTTTGTGCCCAGTTCCTTTTGTTGCCATGATATTTGTGTATTCATCCACATTGTTTTGTGTATTAGTAGTTCATTCTTTTTATGGCTGAGTAATGCACTATTGTATGAAAATACCACAATTTGTTTATCCATTCTACTGTGATGGATGTTTGTTTTGGGTTGTTTCCAATTTATGGCTATTATAAATAAAGCTGCTATGAACACTCAAGTACAAGTATGTATATTTTATTTTTCTTGAGTAAATGCCTATGAGTCATATGGCTGGGTCATAGGGGAATTGTATGTTTTAACTTTATTTAAAACATGTCAAATTTGTTTCACAGTAATTGTGCAATTTTATGCACCCATTACCAATTATGACATTTCTAGTTGCTCCTCATCCTCACCAGAGTCTGGTGTTATCAGCCCTTTAAATGTTAGCCATTCTGGTGGTTGTGACTAATAGCTCATTATGGCTTTAATTTGCATTTTTCTAGTTTCTAATGAGATTGAGTACTTTTTTCATATGCTTATTGACCATTCATATAGCTTGTGAATGATTTGTTCAACTCTTTTCCCTATTTTTAAAAACTGGGTTGTTTTTCTTTTTACTAATAAGTTCTTCATATATTGTGGTATTGTGGGATGTTTCTATTGTGAATATATCCTTTCATTTTGTGGCTTTCTTATTGACTTTCTTAATATGTCTTCTATTGAACAGAAGTTTTCGCTTTTTCGGAATTCATATTAATGTTTTTCTATTATGGTTATTGCTTTCTGTGTTCTAAGAAATCTTTGCCTACCCTCAGTTCACAAAAATATTCTCTTCTGGATTCTTTAACAAGCTTCATAGTTTTATATTTTACATTTACACAGGTTAATTTTTGTGATGTTTTGATGTGCCATAATAGAAATTAGAGCTTCATGTTTGTTGTTTTTCTCTTTGTTCAAATTCACATTTGTGAGTGTTTTTATTAAAACACAAAAAAAAATTTCCAATTGTAAGATACTCTAATTTGACATATTATGCTTTTGGTTAAGTCAAGTACTTCAATGTTAATTTAATGTAGAAGTGTAAATTTAGAGACTATAAGCAAATGAAATTGAGTTTATTGCTTTATGGTAGTAAAATAGCTTTTAAACATTTTAATATATTTAAAAGAAAATATATTTAATATATTTAATATATTTAAAAGAATATAATTTAATTACATTACTAATTTACTATTTATATATTAATAGAGAGTGTGAGAACTTTGTCACTGTACACATTCTACAAATAAATGGATAGTTTTTTAGTTTTCCAGATGAAATCATCATTTTTTATATAACTTGTAAAGTGATTTGATTGCCATGTTATATCTCTTTTATTGGTGGTCTAAAGACTGTCAGGCTTTCCATTCGAAACCCCTATTTTCAGGAGTTTATGAGCAGGCAGTTGAAAAAAAAAAGTAACCAGCCAAATCTTGGCATTCACGATCTTGGTTCAATAGAAGGTACTTGCTCTAACAAAATTTTAAATAGTCAGCTCTTTTTTAAAGCTGTAAGCAGTACAAAGAGGATAAAGGAATTTTTTTGGTTAAATAAATAGGGAATATTTTTCCAGACAGCTTACCCCAATTCAATTTACAAAGCAAACTTTGCCCTTCTAGAAATCATTTAAGTATGTACGGTCCTATGTTCCAGTGGCCACAAGATCTTGCCTCAAGACTTTTTTTTCCCCTTTGCTGTCGTTCATTGCAAATATGCTTTATCCCTGTTCTCTTTTCTATCCATTTATGCTTTTTGAATTCTCCGTAGTATATTTACAATAAAAATGACTTTAATTTTGGCAGTCTTTTGTAGTTTTTTCCCCTCCTCTTTGCAGTGCCTACTTGAACAAAACAGTATATAACTTTACCTATTGCTTGGAGAACAGTATTAACTTTGAGAGAAGTTGTGTAAATAGCAAAGCTATTCTTGAAATTAAATTTCTGAAATACAGACTTTAGAAACTAATCTGAAGATTCACCCTTAGGAGGTCCAAGATGGTAGATTATTTAAACAAACAAACAAAGTTAAAAAAAAATAAATCTGAAGAGCTGTCACTTAAAGAGCAGGCTTTTAGGCAAGTTTCTTTTCTTCTTCTGGCAAGTATAGATGTCAGCTTCAGTACTTTCACATTCTGTTTTTAACCCACTATCATTTGCATGGTAAACATTTAACTACCATTGGTCCATGAAGGTGTTTGTGGGTTTTTTGTCACTTTTATTTCACTTCTTAGTTTTTAAACTATCATTTCCTGAACACCTAGTATAGACATGTAACCTACTGCAGGAAACAAGATGATCTCCTGGAAATCTTTACTTTTGCTGTACTCTGAAAATAATTTGCTTCAGGCAAGAGATTTTTGGGTGCTGCTGAAATTTCGGAGATCTGGGAAAACGGGGTAATAACATGACACCAGCTCTTAAGCAGCAACATCTGCTGTGGTTCAAAGCCACACAAAGAAAGCTACTTAAGCAGTTGCATGTTTTGGACTGCACGGACACGTGTGGTTCAACTGCAAAGACTGCAGAATAGAGGAAACTCAGAGCTTAGAGACAGCGCTCAACAATGGAGTCGTGGAAGATGAGCATCTTTAAAAGACAAACATCACCTTGTCCTCCAAGCTACGGAAGATCTTTGTCAGAACCTGCTTGTGCAAATTCGGAGATAGGAACAAGTTTAAGGAGTTATCCATGGTGTGGTCCGGTGAAAAGCAAGAGGAAGAAAAACGAACATGCTGTTTCCAATCTAGGAAAGCCACTGGGTGCTTATCGGTGGCAAACTCATCCCAGCTTCAGGTGGAAAGGGGGCAAAAGGGATAGTATGCAAGATGATAAAGGAGACTTGGATGAACCACAGCAAAAGGTCCTGCCAGAGATGGTTGGTAATGCTGCTGCTGCTGTTGCTGCTGCTGCTAATGAGGCCCTTGGAACATCAACAGAGAAGCTGAATCTGGCCAGCACCAGGTCACTTCGGGCCCCATTCACCAGATCTCTTTCTGAGCCAGAAGCCCACTGCAGTACCAGGTTTGTTAGACCATGGCTGACGTCAGCGAGATCAGTGGAGTCAGAGCAGCAGGGATATCTCATCCGTGGCATTTTCTCAACTCTTTCCAATGGCTTCTCCAGGATGTTGAGTCTAAAAGGAGAATCAACCAATGAGCCAGCAAGAGAAGGTATATGGTGATGAATAAGGGGAAAGAAGGGATGCCTGATTTAATTACTATTGGAATTTTAATTATTTGTGTTTTATAATAAGCTAAACCATTCTACTTCCTCACTAGAAGACAAATTATTTAATTAGTACAATTTTAAAAAACTGATAAACACTGCTTCAGAGAACCTCTTTCAATGAGTAATAGATAATAGTAAAAAATAGATTTGGTCAAATTAAGGAATTTTTGTATCGTGTTATACTCTTAAACTCTATTTTGGGGCCTGTGTAAGTGTTTTGGTTTTTAACCCTTGTTTATCCCCATTGGACTTTTTTTACAAGTTAAATGCAATTTAGAGGGAGAAATAATCAAATAATTTCCTCATGACAAAGTTGAAAATAAAAGAGAATTTCTACTGTGACTTCTTCATAAAAATTAATAAATGGTATTAGGGAGAACTATTTAAAGAAGAATTGTATTGATAGCTTTTAAAAAGTTGTAGTTTTGGTTTGCTTAGGTCATTAAAAACATATGATTTGAATATGGAAGCGGAAGATGCAAATTTTGAATATGCATTCAAATGAGAAAATAGAAATTTGTGTTTGGTTCATTTCAGACAACAGAATCATCAGTTTTTTAAAACCTCATTAGGACTTGTTTAAATTTTTAAATGTTTTATATTGATGCATTGTTAAAGCCAAACAACAACAACAGAAAAGAACCTCTTAAATTTTTATCTGATTGCCTTGGAATTGACTGACCTAATCTGATAAACTATTTTAATTATGTGTTAGGACCTATGTTGGTTTGTTGGTTTTGAAAACCTTAACACTGTAACTCTGATGATATCTCCATCTAGTTGAGGTCATTTTTGGACAAGCTCTTATCATTAGAAAACTTGAGTTTATCTTTATCATGAGATTGACCACATCAGCAGAAGTTTAAATTCTTTCCAAAATTTTGGGAATTAAAGAGCTTCGTTATTGGTGTCTAATTTAGTTCCTTTTAAAATAAAATTGGAGAATGCAAAAGAGTGATATATCAGTGAAGAATGAAGTATCTTCCAAATATATGTGTGCCAATAATGCAGTACTTCTCTTAAACTCTGCCCTCCCTAGGTTTTCCTTTGCTCAGTGAGTTTTAATGATAGTATTAAGTATGTATGTTTTGTTCTTAACCACGAGAAAAATCTTTCTTGGTGTTCTATTAACATTTCAGTAAAATTTTTGAAGGACTGGGTTGTTGCATTTCCTTAGATGCTAGTATGTCTATTTCCTTGTCAGGTGATCATAGGATGATGTAAAGGAGCATCAAAGGAAATTAAGAGTTTAAAATAAATGTTTAGGTAAGATGGCGAAATAGACAGACGCTGTGCCGAATGCCTCCCAGGATCACACCAAAATTACAAATAATTTATAAGATATTCAACCTCAGAAGTTCCCTGGGCCCTAGATGAGCAGAACCTCTAAACGAAGGACTTAAAGAGGAGGCCACGTCGAGTCTGGTAGGAGGGCTGGAGACGAGAGAGGGCGAACCCCGTGAGGGACACCTCAGCGGTGGGAAGGCTTCTCCCGTTGGGGGCAAGACCCTTCGGCCCCACACTGCGCTCTCCACCCCAGAGTTACTTTGCCGGGAAGAGGAGTTCTACAATAGCTGGAAGTTGAAAATAGTGAGGACTCTCTTTGCTCAACTCGGTGAGGCTGAGGGCAGCTGGAGAACAAGTGGAGCCGGCAAACCGACTCGCTCACTGGTGATCTAATACAATGAAGCAATCAGAGTGACAGCCAGAATGAAGAAACAAAGAAACATGTCCCAAGTAAAAGATCAGAAGAAACCTCAAGAAATGGAACTAAATGAAACAGAGGTATTCAACCTTTCAGAGACAGAGTTTAAAATAAATTTTTAGAATCAGTGTCTCACAGTGGTTAATATGTGTGCATTTGATAAAATAAAGCAATAGGGTTTTAAAAAATATTTGTATCTATGAACGTCTTTGGAGTTTTGTAATTAAGTATTTAACAAGTATGTGAGGTGCTCTGAGAATGTGTACCTGCTTTTTACACATTTATGGTCTACTTAAGAAGATATAAAATATTCTGTATTTATTGCTTCTTAATATCATTCTGTTCATAGAGTAATTATCCACATGGAAGCATATACAGAGTTTAAGGAGCTTTATAAGGGATTTCAAGTCCAGTAAGTAAAGAGCAGTGCATAGTGTTCCTACCATTCAGATCAGCAATTTTTTTTTCTAATAATTTAGTTGTATTTTTTAAAAAACTTTATTGGGGACCAATGTGTTTTTTTCCAGGACCCATCAGCTCCAAGTCAAGCTGTTGTCCTTCAATCTTAGTTGTGGAGGGCACAGTTCAGCTCCAAGTCCAGTCGCTGTTTTCAATCTAGTTTCGGGGGGAGGGGGAGCAGGGCATAGCCCACCATCTCATGCGGGAGTCAAACCAGCAACCTTGTTGGTAAGAGCTCGCGCTCTAACCAACTGAGCCATCCGGCCGCAGATCAGCAATTTTTATTAAGTAGTTACTGTATCTCCTAAGTGCTTCACCAGTTGACAGTCAAGCTTTTAAGTCTGAAATATACTTTTTAATACAAAGATTGGAGCTAGTTCTTGTCAAGAGATCTTCTCTTTGGGCAATAGCTTCTACCCTGCGTACAGTCTATGTCAGTGGTTTTTTAACCTACAGTTGTGAACCTTTCTTTCTCTTTCCCTGAAGAAGAAAGGGTATGATTGGCCTAGGAGGCCTGGATTCTACTTCCATCTATGACAGTTAACATTTGTGAAATGTAGTCTCTGAATTTCTCTTTACTCTTTCATGGAACAGAAAATTCCTTCTTCACAAGTGATGAATGAAATCTGAAAATGCTATTAAAGTAATGTGGCAAGGTATGGAACTATTAGAACACAGATGTCTTTTAGACTGTCAAAAAATCAGTATATTTCTTAATTTGAAACCGCTAGTGTTTGTTACTTTTCGTCTTCAAAAAGGACTGCAAGATGTGAGAGGCATTAGATAATGTAATATGCATTTAAAGCTTTTAAAACAGTGTTTGGCACATAGCAGTTGTTCTATATAATAGATATTGTTTCTATTAAGAAAGTGAATTGACATGGATATAGTTATTTTTTTAAAATCAGAAGGAAAAATAGGATACTTGATTGTTGAGTCTGTTAAGATTACTGAATGTAAATAAATTATGTTCTAGTCTTAAATTCTGTGAACTCAAACTTGTTCTGATCATTTGCATGTTCTGAGCATAAACAAGTAATAATTTCTTGTATCATAGCTGAACACCATCATCACCCTCACGTTTAAAACAATGAAATATATTACACTCAGGGTCCCTAACCATTTTAAAAGGGAGAAGCTCAAAGGCTTTCTGTGTTCAACCCTTCAGTTGTAGAGCATGTATTTCTTCATCTGTTACAATATATAGTTCAAATGATGCAATATAAAAAATAAAACTTATTCTTACAGCTAAAGGTAATTCCAGCTGCACTGGACCCATGGCTAAGCATAGAGTCGGCATACTTGCAATAGTGGAAATACATTGAAATGCCCATTAAAAGAGGAATAATTAAAGAGATTGTGGCATATCAGATCAACAAAATACCAGAGTCTACATAGTTGCTACTTATTAGCTATGTGAAGCTTAGAAGAAACTATAAAATTATTTAAAGGTACATGGGATGTAAATCATATATATCTAATGAATATAACACAAAGTAGAAATTACTGGGAGGCAATTTCATTCCTATGTAAGCAGTAAGAAAGGAAATTAAATATACCCTAGGTAGTTTTCCTTTCTGGTTATATTGCAATATTTTGTCTATAATGTCACGATAATAAGAATATCTTCTTTCCTAGTAATAAGAATATCCTCTTTCCTCAGTGTTAGTTATATTTTTATAAAGACCCTAACTTGAGAATTAGAAGACTTTTTTTTTGTCTTCTAGGTAATTTCTTTTAATATTTTCATTTAAGTTTTAATGATTTTTTCATTAAAAATCTTATTGAAAGGGACCTCATACATTAACAATTGTTTATTGAGTTCCTAAAACACTGGTCGTGTTGCAGGGAAATAGCACATGATTTTATTAATATGCAGCTTCCTCACTTATTCTAAGGAATCAGTAATTCTATTAGGAAAAAAAAAAGGGCTTTATGTTTATAAGATGTACATGTAATAAATGATGGTAAAGGCCTAGTTAGTATAAGAACTTTGGTGCCTCAGATCTTTTCTGCAATTGGACCTTCTACTATTTGCTTTATGTCATAATGAGTTAAAAAGTAATGTCTCTGCAAATACAGAGAAATATGTTCCCCTCCTGCTATTTCTCCTGAAAAATCTTTATTTCAGCATGTATGACACCTGCCCAGCTAGTATTTTTGTCACCCATCTGTAGCATCTAAGCGGTCCTGAAGTTGTTGATCCAATATTTTGTCATTTATGATACTTATGTTGCCTATTGTTAGGCAACTTTGAAGTTAATAAATCAGTTTTTAAAAATTTAGGCAATAAACTTGAATACTTGAGGCTATTTATGTATGATTCTATTTGTAAAATTATTCACCCTATCAATATAATTCTTTCATTTTAAATAAATATATTCTGGGTGTATTAGTCTGCTAGGGCTGCCTTAACAAAATACCACAGACTAGGTGGCTTAAAAAAAACCGTTTATTTTCTCACAGTTCTGGAGGCTGGAAGCCTAAGATCAAGGTGCAGGTGAGGTTGCTTTCTCTTGAGCCTTTGTCACCTTGCATATGGGGTTCTCTTCTTGTATTCTCTGTTGGCCTTTCCTCTTCTATAGGTGCCTCTAGTGTCTTCTTCTTTTAATTATTGAATTAGGGCCCCACTCTTTATGACACCGTTTACCCTTAATTACCTCTTTAAAGGTCCTATGTCCAAATACAGTCACATTGGGGGCTAGGAGGATACAATTCAGTTCATAACACTAGGGAACAAAAGTCTCCACAATTATCAGGTTATTACTGCAATATATT